TGTTTTGTTACTATTGACATATTTATCACTTATTTTAAATTAGTACTATTATTCTATTTCCTTTATACATTAATTTTTTTTCCATTTCTAAACATTATACAATTAATACAATAATTTAATTACTCCTCCCATCAAACCATCAATGCAACAAAGCATAATCACCCAACGGTCAAGAAAGTATGATAGTAATAATGATATTAATAATGGTGACGATGATGATAATAACAACAACAACAATAACAATGATAACAATAATAATAATAATAATAATAATAATAATAATAATAATAATAGTAATAATAATAATTAACTTAGTCAATCATAGCAAATAGCTTATTTAACTATAGTGTTCTGTACATGCAATATTGAGGTAATATTATGTATACATAATCACACATATACATATCCATAATACTTACATACGCATATTTACACACATATACCCATACATACATACATATATAGAATTACTTTTTGTTTTTTTTTTGTTTTTTTTTTATTGAATATCCATCCAATAAATCAGTCAGTTAATACATCATATACATCCGATTTGATCTGTACGTTAAAATTTGTCTCTAACATTTTAAGGTTAATATTTGACCATTTGTTTTTTGCATTTTCTTTGTTAATTATAAATTCACATTCAATTAAAGCTTTTAGTTCGTTTAGGAACATTTTCCATGGGCATTTTATCTCCAACCCTAATCTTTTTAACATTTTACTTTTGTATATACAGAAGGTAAGCATAGAGATTATTTCGTTAACACGTTTCTGATAATTTCCAAGAACGACTTTAGACCATTGAATTTTATCAGTCATTTAAAAAGAAGATGCTAACATTATACTAACATTTGACCAACAGAAATGTACATCTCTACATTTGAACAGTATGTGTTGTTCGTTTTTTATAACATTACAGGTTTCACAACTATTACTGGCAGACAGGTTCCATGTTTGTAACCTACTCTTTGTTGGAATTACTCTATTTAAGAGTTTATAATTAAATTGGGCTATGTTTTTCAAATGTAACATATTAGAAACTTTATTTTTCCAACAACGTGCCCATTCAATTGTAGTTGTCTGCAAGTCGCTTTCCCACTTGTATTGAACACCTGGAGTGATATATTTTGAATTTATAAAGGATAAATAAAAATCTTTAACACGGTTTTTACTTAAGATCTGTTCGTAATTTGTTTTACACTCATTGACTTTGTGATTTAAACAACAAGAATCATTTACAATGATTTCTGACCACCTTTGGGGAATTGCATTTAGAACTGCAAAATATTGTATAACTCCATCGTGAGACTTAGCTAGGTGAGGAATAATCTCCTTCACGGTTTTAAATCTGTTGTTCATGATATTATCCCCCATATTTTAAAAATTACAATCTATCCATGTTTCAGTGAAGAGATTTACCATTTGAGGTAATATATTTATTTTCCCATAACCTTTGTCGCTTGATCTCACAGATGCATTCTGGTTGTGAAGCGTGAATGTCATTAAATCGTATGCAAGCAAAAAGCATATTCATATAGAATATAGGCACTATATTTAAAGAAATATAACTATATAGGTTAACCTGCGCCATGCATACTGTATATTCTAAAGGATACATATAAGAAACATAAATACATAACCTCAGGTGGTGAATCAATTCATTTCAAATCTTCGTTAGATTATGGGTGCAAATCAAATTGTATTATGGTGCATAACAGATTATTAACAGCTGAGGAGCTGATTCCCACATTGTTAAAGAAAGAAAACTGTATAATTGAATACTTTACACTTCTAAATGCTATACAAAGTGAATGGAAAAAAGTAATTTCAGAACCTAAATTAGAAAATAACAAGCTAGATGTGTATTAAAAGAACATCCGTTTCACACAAAAAATACAAGTCTTTAGTATAGGCCTAATTATTATACACGCTTTGTTAATAAACTTGCTACTATTAGCGTTCATCAATGAAAATATCGATTGCAAAAAACTATTTTTTTTTAAAGATAATATATTCTAAGAAGCACTTGGTAAAACTAGCTTAATTTAATTTTAAGATATTACACTTTATTTTAGCTTGTAAGAAAGAATTAAAAGATGGGAATCTACTAACTAACAATTTATGTAACAAATGTCATTTAGAAATGGAAAATGAAAGCAAATTCTAGTTAAGTGCATAACAATACAACCTGCGTGTTATAAATTCGATGCAGTGATTACTGAGTGCATTTCTACTGAAAGAATATTAAGGCATGGTTTGAATTGGTTGTACATAGTTACTGGAACTCAAAACAGGCCTGTTAATAAACATTTTCCTCATATACCTTTTGTATTTAAAAAATCAAAGAAAAATGAAAATCGAAAATCCAAAAAATATCTAGAATTTATTTAAGTTAGAACTTAGGGACTTAATAACAAATCATAAATGTGATTTAAATAAAGATGAAAAGAAATCGGGCAACGTAAAAGAAAAACTCTTTGTTTTTTATAATGAGTAGAAATTGAATTTTTATTAATAAATACATGTAAATATAAATACTATATTATAATTATATAAGTGAACTAGATTTGATGTATATAAGTTTCTGAGATTTAAATCTAATACATTTTCGATGCAAGCTTGTATATACTGTTTTATTAAATGTTTTTATTTGAATTTATTGTTTATATTTTAGTTTGTAAATAATTCAATTATATATTTGTTAAAGGCTATAACTGTTGTAAAGAAGAGAACGAAAATCTAATCTAAATAATTTCTGTCCCACTAGTTACGCTGGTAACTGAAATGTTTGTATCTTACAATATGAATATGGTTTATAAGTGCTTAATTTAAAGTTATTTATTATTATACTGTTGTGTAATTATTGTGAAATGGAAATTTGAAGAAATGTTATGAATTTAAAATATATGTGGGCGTGGCTCTAAAAAAGGAGAGAAATCAAAGTTACATTACCTACCATTAGAACAATCAGTTCCTACATTTTTATCAGAATAGAGCTAATAAATATGTTAAGATGGCCTCATAAATCGACGATAAATGGATGATTAATTTATAATTATATTTGTTTTACATAATTTGGACATATATGTTGTTTTCTCTAGTGTAGAAGTCATTTTCATAACATTTGAAAGTCCCTTTCAACTTATAAATTCAATAAATATAAAGTAGTTGTTGGGTTGTGTGATTCTAGCAAAGGGCTCTTTTACTCTAAACGCTTTTTAAATCTTTTCCATTCTACAGGAGAGTAAGACGAAGAATTTCTTTTTAGATTACAACTAATAACCACAACATTAATATAATTAACGAAACAAGACTTAAAATTCCAGAGAAAAACTCAAAAATTTCGCAATAGTTGGTTTTGGCAACTACTTCTGTGTATTCTTGGTGCTCTTGAGTGTGTTCCGAATGATGTTTGCTCCTGGTTTCTTTTAACGGGACTTCTTTTTTAGTGCGACAACAGTTCTTTATATACACACATGCCTTGTAAGCATTCCCTTGCACATGTATGTTATAAACGATTATTTCCACAATCACTGACATGATTCCAATACCGAACACCGCTGTGAAGAATTTTCCTGAAAAAAAAATATATTTTTTTTTTCCATTATAAACCATGCAGTTCACCGACAAGTTTGATATTAATATGAAACAAACTCAAAAGGAAAAAGTGATATTTTATTTTATTTTTTTATATTTTGATTCAACGTTTGAACTTTATGAGTTCATCATCAGTAATAAATTATGTATAAGATTGGATTCACTTACATACAGTTAAAAGGTATTAATTAAGTAGAGAATAACCAATAAGTAGAGAATAACCAATCAAATTGCAAAGGTTTAACCAATTGCATTACAGGTATGCTCTGATCAAAGAGGTTAAATGAACAAGACTTTCTAATGTGGTGTGTTACATGTATACGAGTCATAATCTGTCTCTTATACACATCTAGATGTGTATAAGAGACAGATCGTATACCTACTTACCAATAACTGAGGATTCGTTGCCAACGGGCGGCAATGACATTGCAATAATTTCCTGAAAAACAACTAACCCCAGCACAGCTGTGATTCCGTACGATAGCTTCTCACCACTCTCAAATGGAATGAAGAACATCAAGCATATGAGAACCGAACAGAAGGAGTATGGAATCAAAATAAACAAAAAGTAAAACCTGTAACGTCGCCTAATGTAAATGGTAAATAAAGCGTATACAAACGGGGGAATATTCTCCTTGTATTCGGTTACTGTGCGCCTTTTCTCAATGCCTAAAAGTCTCCAAACTCCGTAATCTACGAATTGGTCATCTTGGTCAAGAGTAAGTATATGTGGATTAATGTCTAGATGAAAGATATTGTAGATCCATGAAGAAAATCGCAAGGTACACGTCTGGTTATCGAATGGGAATAACACTATGCTAATATGACAGGAACTGCGAAATATAGAAAATGTCGAGTAGTTCACTCTACCGTCTGAACATACCTCAACTGGTGCATTCGGTTGGAACTGGTTATATTCTTCGTCAACGCTAACAGGTAAAGTAAAAACACAAAATTAAATAATATTTGTGGATTATAGTGAAATTTAAATGGTATCTAAACAGTACTCGAATATGAAAAGAAGTGTTATAATTATTACCGGTATTATATCTAAAAGTTGGTTTCTCGTGCATGTCTCTATTGAATTTGGTCACACAATTAGGGAAAACTACATGGCGTAAAAAGTATAAATTAGAAAGTGAACTAGACAAAATCTGGATGATGATAATTTCGATATTTATATATATATACTGCATGTCGAGACATATATTAGGTTTATAATGGATAACTCAAGTCAAAAATATATACAAGCACTCACTTATTTTCCAGAATTAGATCGGGTATCCAAATTTCATTTACAGGAATATACACACAATTAACACCATATTCAGACGCGTTCCAGGTAATACGCTCGTCTTGCCATTTCTTTCATACAGGTTATTGAAAAATAATAAATTAATGCGTCATCTTTAATAAACAATGGAAGGAATAATAAATCAAATAAAACCTAATTTATTTATATCAGAATATTATGAAAATAGAAACGTAGCAGAGAGTATTCGAGTATTAATTGCGAAAACGTAAATATAACTAGCTATCTAAACATTTTAACTACTAATTACACTTAAAGTGAACAAATCAATATAAAATACAAAAGCACAAGCACCTAAGCGAATGTAAAAGTATGCAGACAATAAAATACGAAACTATACAATGTGTAAACGACTGAACTAACAACAAAGGTACACAAATATTCAATGACATTATTACACTGACATGTTCAGAGTATCTGAATAGTTATCACTCATGTTCATTAACTCTTTTAATTTGCTCAGCAGTTTGAAGAGGTTTTTTTTTTTTTTTCGTTAATGATTTTATTTCAGCAGCTATCTATTAACAAAACGGTTTTCATGTTGAAACGAGGTGGCAATCTTGATAATCTCCCGCCACCGGTCACGGTCGTGCTCTACCGTCTTGGATCTGGCAAATGGCAATCTTGTCCACTATCGGATGTTGTTCTCCAATCATTTTTTCTCTGTCGTCTTCTTCTCCTTCTTCCATAGGCTGTACCTTTTAAAATGTTCTTTGCCAGGTCGTGTAATCTTGTTATATGTCCACACAATTTTACTTTTTTTTCTTGACAGTTGTCTACAACTTTTCACTTTGTCCAATGGCACTTGTTATTCGTATTCTGACTTCCTTGTTTTCGATGTGGTCTTCGTATGATTTGAGCGATACCTTGTGGTAGCACCTCATCTCCAGGGCTATTCGACTCTGAAAGCCAACAGTGGGGATCCAGCTTTCACAAGCGTACAAGAAGATGGGTAATGTAAGTGGAAGCTTAAGTCTGATTTTGGATGCGATGATGAAATTCTCATCACGCCATATATTCTATTATGGTATTCCAGTACTTCTTACTTGTAGAGCGCTTTTCCATTCAGCTCCACAATATGTCAAAAAGTCCTCCCGGGTAGATCTTGCATAGAACCAAACCCAAACAAATTGTGCAAACTTAACTAAAGCAATAAAGCAGTAACTCCGAGCAAAAAGGTTAGATAGAAAACTTAAAACAGAAAATAAAATAATAAACAAATAAAATCTTAAACAAGGTGAGAGGAACTATTGAAAAAGTTTTGTTTAGATGGGCTTTGAAAAGCCTAAGCGAATCACAAGACCTGAGAAAATTAGACAGATCTTCCAGAAGTTGGCCAGCAATTGAAGGAAATGAATTGTCACCAATACGTTTATGGTACATTTGTCAAACAAGTTGGAGTTGAAAGATCCCGTTAAATGCACAAGCACACGTAAAGTAATTGGAAATATACAAAGGGCCAAAAGCCAGAGCGTGAATAAGTTGAATTCTTTCTTGAACAGGCAACCAATGAAGTTCGAGAATAAGTTCGAGGAAAAGTATTAGTGCGTGTCTTACAAGAAAACATGAGTCTAGCAGCAGAAGTTTGAATTTTCTGCAGAGTGTATAATTTTTTTTTTAGTACAAAGAGCTGAACAACACCTTTTTCTTTCCTCAATTCATAATAATGCGTGATTATTGAAAAATCACAATAGGAAAACCAACTTTTCGAATTTACAGCAACAGTGTATGCTAGTATGTTCTTGCTCAGTTAATATTCCAAACAGTAACCAGCGAGATATTAACAATGAATTTTTTTTTTAATACACAGCGATATGTAGGGCTAGCATCAAGCAAGCAATCACTGTTCCGCTTTAAATATTGCTATCATATTATGGAAAGAAAGGGTCAAACGACAAGATCAACTTTTCCCTTTGAACCTACCTTTGAGTGTAATGAAAATAATTGAATCGCCTTACACGGCAAACGTATATGCACTCACTGGATTGACTGCTTTAATTTCATTTGTAGCATCAATTAACATTGATATAAGAGATCATTTAGCATACTCATTCATACAATAAATTTAGTTTTGTGAACTATGCATAGGATATCGTTTATTCGAATTTGCCTGTTAGCACTCAAATTACAAAAATAAAGGCCGAGATTGCCGCCCAAGAAAAAAGACGAGGTTTCATAATTGCGTATTAAAGTTTCAATGAGCTCTTGCATATTATACTATTACCAAAATATGGCAATGTTTGGGGAAAAAATTCATTCAAAGTAGAGTAAGTACTGTGAACTTTAAAAACGAGGACACGAACATTATACAGGTCACCACGTAAAGTAAACACGTGTGTTGCATAGTATTAATATTTAGATAATGAAGTATGCCAGCAAATCTTACCATATTGGTCCAGCTTGCGATTTTCAGTTCCTGGTTAACATCATTCTGAAATTAATAACATGAGTTCAAACATTTGCCCTTATTTTTTTAGTATACTTCGCTTACGCAGATACTCTATGCTGTCGTATTGGAATTTCTCGTTCAAATGGAATGTGATAAGGCTCATTTTCGGTCATTTTATTTGATAAGCATGCCAAATACAGTGTGACCTTGTCCGAAAATCGTCTATTTTAGAGTCATTTTAGTGTCAAGACCACCTATATTTTCAACCACCATAATGCACATAACAGCCGTTGTAAATATACTTTCCATCATAATATACCATATCAAATATAGCTTAATAACCTTAATAATGGCATTATTAATAATGTTATGTACATTTTTTTTTAATTCAACAATATTTATTCATTTATATAAGTGTCATTTTTATTAGGTAAATTAATTCACGACATTTTTTTAAACATTTTGACATCATCTTTATGAATATTTATAACAGTTTTCGTATTAAAAAACCCTGAAACTAGTAAAACCTTTGTCAAGGAAAATGGTCTGGGGTTCTAGTATTCAATTGTTAAATATACCTTTTACTATATTCCCTCAATTAGTCAAATTTTTCCATATCATTATTTACAAGTGCAATATACGATACCTTTGTATATTATTTTTAAACCCAATTTTTAAATTAATGAATATATGGCAGTTTTTTTTCTGCATTATTCCTTATGTAGATATGTAAACGACAAAAATTAAAAGTGTATTTATTGTCTTATTTCTTATTCCAAACAGACAAAGTTCAATATCTTGAATAATGATAGGTTTAATACAAGTTTTAATCCAAGATAAAACTTCTTTCCAGAACCTCGACATAATACCATATTTAACAAAAATATATATAATGTTTCTTTTTCATAATGAAACAATGTACAGAGTCTACTATCAACCCTTCTAGTCCTAAACAAAAAGGATTTTTTCCAAGGATTCTATTATAATCCAATACAGTAACCATCTTAATTTAGTATCTTTGGTTAAGTCAAATGTCGTTAAAGAAACATTTTTTCCAAATAGAATTTTTAAATGTTTTGCCAAGGTCTACTTCCCATTTTTATCCGCAGGTTTCCTTATTAGGTTAAATTGGCACATATACTCAGACATTCTCCTAGAACCTTTTTTGTCTTTTATAATAATTTTAAAATTTGCCGGAGAGACTGGATATTCTTGTTTGTAACTGAACGATCTAGGTTTGGTAGATTCCATTAATGCTTCTATTAGACCATAGTACTCGATCAAATTAGCATCAATGTTGTGCTTATTTCTGAGTTCTTCAATATGTAGGGAGGGAATGTCCATCAATGAGGTTATTTACAAGTTGAACACCGCCCCCAACCCAGTGCTTATAATTTGCTACTTTCTTTTTCCAACACAAAACTTGTCGTTTAGCCAAATAGTCTGTCTAAGTTGATTATAGTCACTTTTGGTTCATTAAGGCTTTTAAACGTGCACCATGCTAACATGACCAAAACATATTTGGGGTATTTTCTTTGTTTATACCACCTCCCTGTTTATACTATGCACGGAAGTAATCGAACCGCCCTCCAGTTCTTTTTTAATATTATTTTTTTTTAAATTGCAGACCATTCTGCATCTGGGTTGATGTTGAACCTTCTAATCCATGAAACTTTTAAAAAGCATTAATTTGGTTACTAATATCAATCATATGAAGTCCTCTCTTTTCATAAATTTGTGTTGATTGATTTCCAGTTGTCTGTCTATACACACACACACACCCACACATATATATATGTATATATATATTATATTATATTATATATATATATATATATATATATATATTGTTCTAAAAGTAGGTATCAGTATAAAGAACTGTATTAGACGTATTGGTTTTACAAAACTTACCAGCTCTATAATTCGAGTCAACAAAAATTCTAGCGTTACATTGGTTACTGTATTCGGGTCGAGTACGGGTCGACTTGTTGACAGTCCAAGGTTTTGTATAATGGCTTCTGCTATGATACTTTCATTGTTTTTTATAACGGTAACACTGTCTACTATGAAAGAAACAATATATGTCAGTGTCACGCCAGTTTTGCCAGCTATAATTGTGTTACACATAATAGGTCTACCAGTATTTTTCGGTGATAGCGAAATAGAAAGGACGAGGCAAAAATAAGTTTGGGGAGCTCGATGATTGAGTAAGGTTCAGCTAGCCTGCAAAATAATGTAATATTAGGTTGATTTTTTATCTACCTGTGCATGATGTGTTTTTGTTTTCGAATATTTTTGATGGGAGGGGAGGAGACTTGAGGGTGCAAAACTTATCTGAGTGTATTTTCAGGAGCGCCAGAAATGTACTACCAACCCAGCAATGTCGCTTCTTCTGTTGTATCTATAATTGTGCTCTAGTTTTTTAGCTCATTTAAAATCATATACGGCTAAAATAATTATTATTACTAAGTATAAATTCATATAGTGATTGGATGAAACAATTTAAAGTACAAGAAAAAAGCTTTCAAAATACAAGAAACATAAAAGAAAAAAAAAGACAAGACAAATAACAATATTGAGGGGAAAAAATTAAAAATGTACATTACGAAATCTCATTAACATGATTTAAATAGGAATAAAAAAAAAGGTCCATATTCAACATCAAATATTATAAAATCTAAATTGCACTTAAAAAAGTATTAATTTAGAATGAAAAAACAATAAGGGGTCAATAAGAGAACATAAAAAATGTACATCAAGTGAAAAAAAATTATGGAACAACCAAAATTATTGCAAAATGCCCATTTATAAAAACTTACATCAAAATTATTTAATAATTATAATCTCAAAAAAGCATCAAGTAAACACCAAACTTTTTGCAAAAAGCGCATTTAAAAAAAAATTACATCAAAAACTGATATCATTAATAAATATAACATATAAATAAATGAAATAAATAAAATAAATAAAAAAATAATAATAAATAAATATAATAAATACAATAATATAAATATAATATATAATATAAATAATTATAATATAATACCTGTTAACAGGTGCACTGTCAGCAGTAAAAACGTCCAGTACAAATTATGCATGGCGGATACATGTAGTGTTAACAAGGCAATGTGTGCTTCAGTTCATTTGTAGATCGAAAAAAACATCTACAGTAGAATGGCGTTTCACTTTGTTTATGCTTTCGGTGAGTCTGTTAATTTTTGATTTGCAATAAAAGCTGTAGAGGAAACCCGGTGCTAGGTAGGAAACCAACTTAGCGAAGTAAAATTGAATAATAATAATAATAATAATAATAATAATAATAATAATAATAATAATAATAATAATAATAACAATAATAGTAATAATTAATAATACTATATGATAATAATTACTGTATGATATATGGAGGATATATATGACTCAAATAAATCTTATAAAAAATGGATATTAGTGTGATCGAAATGATCAGAATGTAACAATTATCAAATCTGTATAATTATATATACAAAATGTAGCATGTGAAGAGATAACTTCTGAACTGAACAGTTTTGAGGTAATGCTTTATACATATACAGTAGTACTTCTGCTTAGTGACATCCCTATTAAGGGGAGACCTCTATTAAGGAGGCAATTTTCCGTGAAAAGAAGAGAAATACCGTACATACACTGCACTATAGCCAAACCATTTTAAAGAGACACCCATACTAAAGGGACGGGGACACTTTCTAAATTGAATCTTGTCAGTTTTGACCATTAACAATGTTTCTTGTTTAGAAAGGACACGAACATTATACACGTCACTACGTAAGGTAAACACGTGGGTTGCATAGCAAAACCCTTGTCAAGGAAAATGGTCTGGGGTTCTAATATTCAATTGACAAATATACCTTTTAGTATATTCCCTCTATTAGTCAAATTTTTCCATATCATTATTTATTCATAATTCATAATTCATAATTTTATTTCACTCAAAACATAATAATGAGTCTGGTAGGCAAAAAGGGAACTTGTCCCTGTACAAGATGTCTACCAGAGATACATTGATAAAAGTAAAAACATAATAATAATAATAATAATAATAATAATAACAATAACAACAACAATTATAACAATAACAATAATAATAATAATAATAATAATAATAACAAGAAAAATTATTTTTTATATAAAAACAAATAAAAAATTAATAAATAAATAAAAAAAATTAAAAAAAATAAATAAAAAATTAAAAAAATAATAATATGATAACAATAAGAATAACAACAAAAATGAAAAAAATATATTAATAACAATAATAAAAGTAATAATGAATGAAGATTTAAAAAAAGCCTTAAGGTGAATTCAGTTAGTTATTAAAACATGAATTGTTGGGCAGAACTTTCATGAAGGTGTTGTATTTAATAATGATATTTTAAAAGATTGAATTGTAGAAGACAAACGTATTGAAATAGGGAGATGGTTTCAGGTGTTTGGTGTACAGTGAAAAAAGGAGTTGTGAAGTGCATTACATCTGGCATGAGGAAGATATAGCGTTGGGTGCGGTTTACGGGTATTAAATGAAATATAACTATGGGAGTCGATTTTGATTTTATTATTAATTATTTTATACATGAAAATGAGACTAAGAAATATTCTTTTGTGTTCTAAGGAGAGATTAAGTCGGGCAAGTCGGTCTTCATAGTTGATATATGCAGTATTGGTTGCATGGCGAGCAGAATTCAAGAGAAATCGGTTTCTTTGGACAGATTCAATATGCGTAATGTTGATTTGAAGATGGGGGTTCCAGACGACAGACGAGTATTCAAGGATTGGCTTAACAAGGGAATTGAACAAAACTAATGGAAGGGGGTGACGATTACAAGTACGTTTAATAAAATAAAGGGTATGGAAGGCTTTGGAGACAATATTTCCGATATGAGTGTGCCATTTTAGATTGGAAGAAAAAGTAACGCCAAGGTATTTGTGGGAGGATACATAATGTAAAGGTGAATTCTGAACAAGGTAACTGGGATATGGGGTATTGCGCTTTGTTATACACATGACTTTGCATTTGTCAGTGTTTAGGATCATGTTGTTCT